AAAATATGTACACGGTCGGCGGTAACCGGTATGTACCCGCGACTGCTGCCGTAGCTGGTTGCGATAGGTCTCTCTAATTATATTTATTGTTTTATCCCCGTAAATCTCGTCCGGCGGCCGTGGAATATAATATATAATATTATATAGAGTGCCGGCGTTTTCGTGCTGCCGTCGACGATGCGCTCTTCTCTCGCCGGTCGCCGCCGCCACAGCCACAGCCACCGCCCACTAATTACATTATTTGACCCGCACGCCATACGCCGCGCGCGTATATAAAAACACACACACACACACACACACACACAGGTAGGTTCGACTACCAGTGGCGGCGCGTGTTTTAGTGCACCACTCTACATTATACTCTGGGCGGTCCGATTTTTTCATTCGTGTTTGTATTTATTTTTTTTTGTTTTTTTTTTTTTTGCCAGCTTTTATTAGTATATTACGTTTTTATAAATAATAAGTAATAATGAGTAATAACGCATTACATTAGAGCGCGAATATAATAGTATCGTATACCTGTGCCGCGCACGTATATATATAACATAATATAATAAGTTTGTGTACGAAAAGAAAATCGACGTTTTTTTTTTAAACGGACACCGACAACGTAGTCGAGAGGACGACGACGCCGACAGGTGGTGGGGTGGTGGCGAGGAAGACAGACGAGAATCTTTATAATACATATAACTAGAAGACCTAACCACCGCCGACGGTCTGACTTTTACGACCACCGGCCGTCGTCTCCCTGCTCGTGACAACACAATTATTTTTATATCTTACCTGCCTACCCATCATAATATGGATGTGTAATATAATGTGTGCTGTGTGCGGCGTCGGGGGGGGGGGGAGGGGGTTGCCACGCGGAGAGGAGACCACCGCAATTTTCGCGGAGACCGTTTGTCGGCGGCACGTCTCTTCGGCCCGCGTGTGATGTGTGTATACTGTATACAGACAGCGTCGTCCCTTATATTGTTATTACAACATGCTTTTCCGCTCCATTTGCCCACGCGGCCCACACGTATGTAATATTATCGCAGTGTGATGTAGCCCTCCGGCACTGGTGCAGAGGCACCGGCGAGGGGTCACTACTATATATTACCTATAGTCACGCGCAGTTTACACGTCGTAATATTATTTCACGATTGTCTCCTCGTCGCATGCGATGTTGTCGTCCCCGACGCGAGCCCCCCCGTCTCGCGCGGCGGAATTTCGGTTTCGTCTGTACTTTGGATTTTTATTTTTCTCTACACACCCATTTCTGGAACTACGGATACTATATCAGCATTGAGTTATTATATTATTCATCTCTGTTCGCCCGTAATAATATGATAATAGTAATAATAATAACGATAAACAGGTGCTGTAACTCGAAAAATACCAAAACTCGGTTAATTGGCGGTTTCTGTGTGTACACGTACGAGCGTATGCCGAGGAGTTTCTATATTATGGTCGTAGGTATACGTATAATACGACGATATTTCCCATGGACGAGAGAAAAAAAACACCGTTCGACGTGGTACTATGTATAATATAATAATATAATGAATCCAGTTTTAAATAAATTACCGTATATTAATAATATTATAAGAAATTGATACGAACAAAAATGCGGATAAACACTTAACGACATATTTTCCCTACGAAAATTACTATTGCATGACACAATGTACATAACATACAGCATGTATCTAATCTATCTATGTATAAAAAGCGTATATACCTACGTATGTATATGTACGTAGAATTATGAACATTTATTATTTATATAGGTAGGTACCACTACGCGCGTTTTACCGACCGTCACCGCGTCCTCGTCGATTATACTTATTATAATGTACTACACGCACGCACGAACACACGCGTTTACCGTAATATATAGGGAAAAACACGGAACGTTATCCGTATTAAACCCAGGAGGTACCTACCTATTTTATTTTCCTCAAAACGACAATTTTTCAAACACCCTGCAGTATATAGGTACCTATACGCATATACGTTTAATACACCTTGTACACTTATTTTTGCGCATGTAGCGATATATATATATAATATATATAGGTATGTATTGCAGTACACCTGAGACTATCTCTATTCGTGATCGTGTCATAATATTAGTCGAGAGTCGGTATGCACCACCGACTTAATACTTGGTTACGGTTCGGTACGCCACTAGACAAGCAAAGGGTATGTGATGGGAACGCACGAGAATGTAGAATGTCGCTTTTCGATTACTCGTACGAACGGTAGTGATGGTTAGGTTGTAGCAGGGTATAAGACATATATTATAATAGATTATTGCACTTTTTCGTAAATATAGCGTACATCACTGCGGGACGTTGTTATACGTAATGCCATGTATTGTTACACTGCATAAGGTCTATTCTATACACTGAAGTGCACGACGGCAGTACCTACCGCTGTTTAAGACGCCAAGGTAGAGGTAGGTCTTGTCCATCAAAGCCAATGTGTATATCATAGGTCTTAAACCATGGTCGGATATCATGTTCTGGACGGTCGATTGGTACCCGCGAATATTGTTCGGCGTATATTATGCGTAGTATACTCGCGCGTTATTTATGTTTTTGATCATAATATGTATTATACCATTTACGTATTGTGTTACCGCGAGAGAGTCGTTATTATTACGTTTCGAAATTCGAACCGTTCGATGACGAATTAATACAATTATATGGTCAGTGACGATAAGTTCCGACGTAATTTCGTGTACGGTATTATCCGACGCTTGACTAATGTCTAGTTCATACCATCACGGCTTTCGGCTAATGCGACAACATTTCCGACTTCACCCAATCAAAATATTAAGCGTTGTCCGACGACACACTGTGGCTATAGTGATTAAATGCTGATAAAACGTATCAATATAATGTATATCATCTATATATATATTCAAAAAAAAATATTATTTCATGTAGAACACGACGATGCGATTAATGATAGGAGCTCGATACCTGTAGATACCTGGGCTCGTCGTGTAATTTAATCATTTTATCGCTACATCGTGAAAAACCGCTATCGATGAACGCATATTTTGTAGGTGCTTGTAACCTAACTGTCGTAATTTACGGTTCGTTATTTTGATTATCAAAATTGATACAAAAAGCTGATGTGTCAAGTATACTACATAGTTTGGAGAAGCGTTTCTAATACCGGCTGCAACATAAACTAGAAATGAAAACGACTTTTAAATAAATGTTTTGGGTACCCTGTCTGTGCAGACAGAGAACATGCCGATTCTGCGCATTCCCACGTGACACTCTGCCATCGAGACCACCGGGGTTCCACTGTGGCAGAGTATCACGTGGGGATGCGCAGAAGAACCCATTTTTGTCGTTCTCTCGTCGGACCGAGTATGTGTTTGTCATAAACCGACGTGATTTAAAAAACGTTATAGTATATAATATTATACTAAAAAATCATAAAACGTAAGTGTGACCTGAGCATTTAAAGAAGAAAACAATGTTAAGACCGCTGAGCAAATGTGCCAAGATAAAATACAACACTTTTTGCGATTGATTTGAAAGCTCTTAATAATATATATTATTCACATTTCGTCGGCGGGGTTCCGCTTAAAATTAAAGTAAAGACATTTAGCTTTATTATACATCGCATGATATCGCTTTCAACGCCTGCAGCAGAGACGAAAAGCTAGCGATCTCGTCGAGCGTATAAAAACACACACACACACACACACAAACACCCACCCACGCACACGCCTCAAGAGGTGCATATGGTATAAAGACATGATATTATATATCGAATCGAAAAACAAAAAAACGGCGCACGCGCACGCGTGTGTAGACGCGATGATCTCGAAATGAATACAAATCGTACATCCGTTTCGGGTCGCCCCGCGCGTTACAATATACGTATATATACATATATTTATATAAATATAATATCTTCGTCGTCGCCGGCGCGTCTCTCGATACCGGCAAAACCATTGTCTGTGAGCTCGCGCGCGTGTGCTTAAACCGCTGCACCGGGGCGGACGGGCGGAGTGCGCGACCCGTACGCGTATTACGCAACAACAGCGTACGACGCATGGCCGCCGCGACGTTGGCACGCCATTATACGTCGTCATAATGACGACACATTACAATGCAATGGTCCCTTCCGGCTCCGTTTTCGTACATGAGTGTACCATACATTATAAAGTGTGCGTGTACCGTTATCACGCGCCGAGCGCTCCGACAGATATCGGATGTCCGGGCTCGTCGCGCGGGAGGTCCCTTATTTTTTTTTATATAGGTAGGTGTGCTGTATGCGCTCGCTGCCATTGTTCTTGTATACGACTCGCGTGTACACGACATACGTACACACGTATATAGATAATAGATGTCGTCTTGTAGTATTCGTCACCATCGCACATGTTTTTTATAATATTATGGTTGTTACGACATTATGTGTATACCGTGTATAGATGACGGAGTGGATTTAAGGGCTGCACCTGCCCCGGGCCCCGCGTAATTTTTAGGGCCTCCTGCAGTTCTTATTAAAACACGGTATATACACTGTAATTTGGATCCCAGACTTTTGTTTAAGAAAAAAAAAAAATACTCGTGTTTTCGAATAAAAATGTCGATTTTAAATAATTACAATATGTATGTGTGTCACCGCAGGACGTGACTACGTATCGATTTTCGTGTACATGTATCAATAATTGCAGGCTGTGGATTGCGCTCAACTGCAGTCCTTAATTTGTGTATCTATATTTATAATAGGCGTTATGTATAGATTCTATAAAATTATCGCTGCAATTTTTCAATAATTTTAACCAGCCGATAGAATACGTTTGAAGTCTAGCACCGTATAATCTTTTTCGTCCTGAGACCCTTAAAGCTTAAACTCGGCCCTGGCTAGGTGGCACGTCGCTGGTGCACCTGCACAGCGCGATCTCGTATTTTACGTTTTGAAATTATAATCATTTACAGTATTGTTTCGGTTTTTGATTTTTTTTTTTCTTATTTGTGTTACAGACGCGTGTTCGAGTAGGTCGACGCCGAAACCGCGACCGCTGCAGCCGACGGAACGGCCGAACATCACCTTCCACACCAACCCCTGTCCAACCGTATACGCCAAATGGTATTGTCTCAACGAGGCCACGTGTTTCGCCATCCAAATAGGCGAATCTGTGCTGTACAACTGCGAGTGAGTATAATATTATAATTAATTAGTTGTACTCGTATTACACCTCTTGTGGGTATTATAATTCATCAGCGATTGCGCGTAAGACAAAAGTTAAGTACATTTCGTCGGAGCAACGTGCGTTCGATAGTAGGTACCCCTTTTCGAGTACCGTGTATTCGGTTGGTTGTTAGTTGTTACCAAGTTTATGGTGAGAGCGACATTGTACCGCGATTATTATTTTCCGTTGTAAACGTGACTATACTCCCAACGATATGCTTTTACGAACATTTATGGTATCGAACTAATAAAATAGTTCTCGTTTACCCAAATTAAATTTGATATGATTAATTTAAAATTGTATTCAATTGTATTCGACCATACAAAATACTGAAATGACGTCACTATTCACTGTACCATCAACGCACGCTTGTGTATGAAAACAAAAATGAAACTATCACGATTTTGTCGACACTGACCCATTTGATATTGTTTGAGAATTCCTTTACAGACAATATTTTTCTGACTAATGAAATAATAATATAGCTTGTATTGCTTAGCGTCCTTACATATGCATATAAAAGTAGCGATGATTGCACCTTGCGAATTATTTTTAAATATTATGTTTCGGTACCTTACTTACTTTATGTTCAAGATAAATCTATAATATATAATTGACTTTCTACCCCTATGTCATATAGGTGCATCTGTATAACATAACAACACAGTGGTGCACCCGAAGGAGTAGTCTTCGGGTTCGGACACTCTTGCCCTATCGGTGTGACGTGTAAAATGATCAAATTATTCGAAGTTTATCAGAAATCAACATTTTCTGATAAAGATTTGATGTGTATTACATGACATTTAATAGTAGGTAGGTACCTAAAATAAATTCTAAAGCAAGTAATTCTTTCGGCTGCAGTTGGGCCCCAAAATTAAAACTCCTATTCTAATTGGATCCCGGGTTATTTTACTTAAATATTAGACGAAAATGTTAAAAATCGATTTAAAAAATCTCTTTTGGGTTGATAAAAATGTATGAGGCCATTAATTTTCCGAAATCGAATCCACTAGTATCTTTTGAAGATTATACTTACTCGACTCAAAGTGAAAAATTTACTTCATAAACCAATAATTGAGGAAACGATTATAGATTCATTTTGAATTATACAAAAGTGGTATTTTTAAAAACGTTCGTAAAAGATGACAAAATATTTAAGTGACCGTTAAAACGATTTTCTAGCATTCCCCCTCCCCCTCCCCTTAAGAATTTCCCGGTCGTGCCACTGCAATGATACAATATATATATATATTACATCCAACTTCCAGCTACCCACATAATATTACACTTATTATATCTATGTGTACATAAGTGTATCGCGTTTTGTCGACCGCCGGCGCTACGCGAGCACACACACTCACACAAGCACACACACACACACACACAACCGCACACGTACCTAAGTATGCATTATGCACGTACCTTTGTCGCATATGAAAATATATGCGGACGAACGAGGTGTGGGGGGGGGGGCGGCGGACGGGTTATAATATATGTGAATAGGGCGGCGGGAGGACGAGGTGTACGCACTGAACTCACACACGCACACACACACACACACACACACATACACACACACACTGCACACTGTAGCATATACATAGGCGTTATTAAATGCGTATGTGTACACACATAATCCCCGGGCCGCATTGCGGGTCACGTATCTGTTTAATGCCCGAGCACGGATATCCTTCGGACCTCTTTCTCGCTCTGCCGCCACCGTGCGAGTCGCGCGCAGCAGTACACGCCGGGGTCGCAAATATTTCAAAAATTCCTACCGCACACCCGAAAACCCGCCCGCTGCAGCTGCGCGTCGCGGCCCCACCGACGACGCCTGCACGGAGGAAAACTCTGTATAGGCACCTACATAATAATAACGTAGGTATGTTCGACGATGATACATACATTATGCAGGTACGGTGCAGTAATATTGTGGAGCGGTATTTACCGCGGTCGCGGTTATATAACCCGCAGCCACGCTGCGGCCGGCCGATCCACATAGTGGACGTATGAGCGAATAGCAATAGCCATTGCTATTTTTCAGTTTTCCCTTCTCGAATAGTATACGAAATGTCACGTCGTACGGATGTCGGGTGGAACACCGCTGCAGGTCGGAAATCTCCGGATCGACAACCGCGTAATATGTTAAAGTGAATTGTTGTCGACTTAATGACGAGACCAATCATCGTTACTGCAACATCTTATTTCCGAAGAGCGTATATTTGCGTGCGACGATCGTTTTCGTCGTCGGACGTCGATCGAAAAACGTTTCGCGTGCTGTTCTGTTGGAAGGGAATATATTATTAGTGTTTATGCGTGCGTATACATGATATATACATAGGTATAACGTACGAGATTAAACTTTGGAGTGTAACGTTCCGAAACGGTCGATTCGGGCGAGATTAGATGTTAAAAATAAACGTGCGAAATACACAGCGTATTACACATATGCATACAGACATTATGTACACGTATAATATGTATGCGTTGGCCTTTTTTCCATTGTGATATTATGTTATAATAGTCGTTTTTCTCCATTCGTAAATTATAATTTTTTTTTTCTATCGGTCCATCCGCTTCCACTACAATGGTTATTAGCTTAAAGTATCTGTGATTAGTGTAGAGTATTTTCTTAAATATATTTCTAAATCAATTTATATAAATCCGATTTTTTCAAAAAAATTATTATTATGTTTATTTTTGCTCGGCGTCCTAAGATGTCGGAGAGGTGTTCTGGTAAATCGCATTTTTTTCTTGGTTTTAATATTTAAGAAAGTCTGTTAAAATATGTTTGATTGTAATTTGTGTTCCGCTTGTGGTATACTGTAATATTGTCGTGGACGATTTTGCAGTATTGAAACGTTTCATCAGATGTTTTGTCGTTTTTCGTGTATAAATCTCCGAATATAGTAATAATCGTGTGCACGTCATACGCTGTATATAATACCCATGGCGTGCAGTACCTATATATGCACCTATTTACGATTTTTTTTCCTCTTTTGGTTTCTAATTTAATTTCGAATATTAACGAAGAAATAAAACGAAACTTTCCACGGAGAAATCATTTGCTTATTAATTACGATGACGCTGAAAAAGGAAAAATCCATTTGAATTACTCATGCATAAACATAATTCAGTCGGAGAGTGGAATATACCGAATACACATGCATACACTCTACGCGTATATATATGGAACGTGGGTTTCTTGTGTGTTGGGAAACGATTTTATAGTGTATATACCGTAATATCATATATATGTATATATATATATATATATATATATATATACTTATGTATGTATATGTGTGTATATTTATAGAGAGAGAGAAGGAAACGGTTCCATAAATCTTCAGACAATGTTCGAAAATTGTACACGTTTACTTGGAAATCGTATTATATTACTATTATATATTTTATACGTTTAAAAAGAATCGGATTAACGAGACACGCACAAACGGCCTTTGAAACAGAAATTATTACACCCGCGGCCGTTACACAAACGAAGTGACTTGTTGTTGATAAAAATCAATTCGGAACAAGGTCGAGACACACACAGCAAATACTTACTGCTGCAACGGGCATCGTAATTTTCTAAGGAGTGCTTTTGGCGCAGAAAGCGAATTTAACTACACACACACACACACACAGGCATATATATATATATATATGTACATAATAATATGCTGTGCTGACTTGCAGTGTATTATAAACGTATAACAACACGATAAATACATTTTGTACATACTTTAATTCCGTAGTACTACTAGACGGAATTACAAATTTTATCGCGATAAGGTTGCTTTTTAATTGTTATACTCGATTTGTCCCGGTCGATTTGACTCCGAGCGCCGTGCCATAGAGACGCACGCAACACGGAGAACACCACACGACTATAATAATAACTAATAATAATTACTATTATTTCTGTAATGTCGCATTTATAATATTATTTTGATCATATATTATTGTACTCGGGCCGTGTCGTAATAACTCTATATTTATTTATTTGTTTTAACGGATCATAAGATCCAAACTCAATTTATATAATAGACTGCAATAGTGCAATTAATATGACGGTAATAAAGCTGATATTAATAATAATACGAATGATACAATAATATAAATACATTAAATACAACAGATTATATTCACATATAATTACATGTATTATGAATATAGTTACTAAAAGATTCCAAAGAAGTAAAGTTATAAATAATTAAATTTTTGTTTCGTTCGCTAATGACATCGTTGTATCGATGGGTGAAGCTAAAGCATAATTTGGTCTTTGTGAAAATACATTTAAAAAAAAATATAGTATTAAACCTAGTTCTACACCGAGGGACGTTAAATCGAGAAAACTTCGCAGTTCTGGACAATCGATACAAGTTTAAATAATAATGTAAAGTCGTTTATTTGTCTTCTATATATTATAATGTGTTTTTCGTGTTTCAGATGTACCGACGGTTTTATGGGACAGAGATGTGAGTTCAAAAATTTGGACGGATCTTACACGAGTAAGTAGCATAATACGTATGATATTACACGTATATTATAACGTATCTACCTTATACACACGAAGCTCGTCTATCATTATAATATTATTTTAATATGATACCGAGTTAAAAGTTTTTGATACCTACCGAAAACACTTTGGAGTGTCGGATATAAAAATTTAAACACACACACACACACACACATACGTATACAGAGCGGTTTGACAGACTAAACCCCCTCGCCATATTAAACTTATATATATATACATGATGTATGTGATACTTGCGAGTGGTTGATGGACGTCGTTATTTTTACGAACGGCATTTTTTTTCCTTCTAAAATAATTACTGTTGCTCAGTAGCGGCGGAGATGACAATAAAAATCTGTGTACGAGTAAATCAACACGCGAAGCCTACCGATTTACATTTTTTTTTTCTTTTTATTATTATACGAACGCGATTTTGGGCGCCGTCCAAGAAAGCGGAAGGTTTATTAAATCCGCCGAGCACACCACTCACACGGTGCACACAATCGTCTGCGCGCGCTATTTTCAAATTGTAAAACGAACGAACGAACGAGTAAAAAATATAGAAAAGAAAAAAAAACTGAAAACCAAAAACAATAAAAACGATGTCGTGTTACTTGGGTGGCCGAGGGGGGTGGGGACCCGAGCGCAGCGTATAATATGGCTTTTGACGAAATCGATTGATTGCCGTCCGCCGCGATCTCTTATTACCGCCGCCGCCGCAACATAAACGAAACAACAAATCCGTCGGCGGCGCGAAGGCGGTGGTGGAGGTGGTGGTGGAGGAGGATGATGAGGAGGAGGAGGTTACATTGTGTGAGTTATTTTTTTTAGTTTTTTTTTTTTTTGAAGGCGACCCGACCGTCGTCTCTCCGCGACCTCGTCGTCTGCGTCGCCGCCGTCGCAACCGCCCGCCGCCGCCGCCGCGCCGTTCGAGTTTGCCACATTTCGATTTGATTTAATATTATCATTACGATTACTATTACGACGTATTGCTCTGCTCGCGCGCCATCACGTCGAGACGATGACGAAAATTCACCGACCACGCGAAAGAGACCTGACCGCCGTCCGAACTGCATCGGACGCATGAATGGGCCGTGGGGACACACTCACACACACACACACACACACACACACACAAGCGCGATCGTAATAACAATGTAGGTTTATATGTGCGTGCATACATACCTGTGTGTGTGTGTGTGTGTGTGTGCTTATATAACGTCTTGTGTAGACTTATATGCGCGCACAGGTGTAGGGGGAGGCAAAGAAGAAACGAGACCGCATACCAAACCCGCGCTCGGTCCGGCATACTAATGATTTACCTACTATAGGTATGCGCCATCATCCCTCCTCCTCCTCCTCCTCCTCTTCCATCGCTGCGTTATTAAAATAATAATAATAAAAAGAAAACGACACCGCTCGATTATACTCTTACATACGTACACACACACACACACATACATATGATACGTAAATCGTATATACGATTTTTCTAGGTCCATTATGAAAATAACGATAAGATAATATATATATATATTAAAGCGTGTCTACAAAGTAAACGCTCGAATACTATTATTATAATAATAGCCAATAGGCATGACGTATATATACCCTATACACAACACACGAGACGGTAAAGTTTGACCCGAACTATTATGACGTGCTCTCTGTATATGTGTGTGCGTGTGTTAACACGTTGAAACGTACACGGACTAGTGGTCCTGTGTAATATCAATATTGTAGACGACGACTTTCGTATTTTGATCGTTTCGATTTTTGATTTTCCACAGCAGCCCGACGACAAGTGATGCTCGAGTCGGCCAGCATAGCGTCGGGGGTCAGCGTGGCGGTACTTTTGGTGTTCATAATCTGCACCACGTTTTACGTCAGGTCCAAGAGACAGCGGAAACTCAAGTTGAACGCAGCCGACGTCTCGTAAGTTACACGGCCGACCGCTGTGTTGTCGCGCTTATAATATTATAATATCTCAACAATTATTGACATGATATAATATATTGTTGTTGTATACGCACAACAGTATCGTCTGAATTCGTGCTTGATTTTTTTTTTTCATCTTGTTCACAGAATGGTAGACGGCAACTGGACGGACGCGGAAAAGCGGCCGTTCTCGTATCGTCCCAAGCACACGATCATCACAATTCCTCTGAAGACAGTAATCACAGTGAGTGTATATTGCATAAATATATATATTATTGTGGGGTATATAGGTACACCTCTAACTTCTAAGTATAATACTACGAGCCCGGTATTCTATTGGACGAAAACGGATTATTTTTTTTTACGAATATAAAACCCACGCGCTTATTTTATTTTCCGTTTTTCGGTTTTAATCATTTAGGTCGTCGTCGACGATTATTGTTGCTGCACACGTGAATACATAATAATATAAATGCCGCCGCCGCATCTCGTTTAATTAAAAAAAAAAAAAAAAGGAAACGCTAATAATAATGATAATAATAATAATAATAATAATAATAATACACTATGTGCGCCTTAAAGCCCAACATATAATAATAATAATAATATATACTCACACAACCACCACTGTATAGTTTGTCCAAATATGGTGCAGGCGGGTATGCTAAACAGCACAGGACACACACACACATGTTAAACGTATACATATATAGACGAGTCGGATGCGAATTTGATCTATACGTTAATATATAGTTTTTTACGATCTTTTTATATGCTCGTCGTCGGCGTTCTATTCTTTACGAAGAAAGAAAATATATGTACGGCGGCGGCGCGTATAAAACTATATACTCATTGAAACCTTTTTTTTTTTTATAACGTCGGGAGGGAAAGAAAACATCGTGTGCGTATACATTATCATTGTTATTATAACTATATTATATCCTCTACCGTGGTAATTTAAGTACAAATCGTGGGCGAAATCATTGTAATTGAGACGTGAGGTTGGTTATAATATATTATGTTAATGTCCGAGTTAAAAAAAAAAAAAAAAACACAGACGCGCGTTTATTATAAACTTACTACTACTATTACTACTACTACGACGACGACAGTATATAATATGGGAAACGATATTGTTAAAAAATGTTGTATAGGTACTTAAGATAAAAATAAAATACGATTTTTACGTTTGGTTTTTTTTCCCCCGCAGGAACAGTCGACGCGATCCTCCGGCGACGGCCGCCGCCCCGAAGAGAGTTCGCGACGAGAACCTTTGATCGTATGAGACGACTGCAGCTAATTCCAAAGTTATTATATGTTCAGCGCGGGTATCCTTGCGAGGACGACAAATGACGATTTTTTTTTCACGGGGAGATCAATAATATAATAATATTTTGGTGTCGAGCTGGACGCCGCACAACACGCCTCGGATACCACTATACACACACGGCGGCACAACAGTCGGTCAGCAGCAGCAGCAGCAGCAGCAGACACGCGAAATATGATCACGACACGAACACACACACGCCCACACACATGATAATGTCTCAACGTCACGTCCCGAGAGCCCAACGCCGAATATATTATACACACACACACACACGCGTGCGCGAAATAAAATTTGGAATTGAAAAAAATTTAATGATCAAAATCGAATGTAATAAAATTTCAAAAAAAAAATTGTTTTTAAACGGACCGATTCAATCATACAGTAGTTGTGTGTCGTGTGTATTATGTTGATAATATTATCGTGTAGTGAATATCGCCGTGGCATATTATATATATATATAATCGATGACGTTTACTGACACATATTTCGACTAGTTTTGATGTGAACGCACATCGATTTTGTGATTATTATTAATTTTTACCGTCGTCGTCGTCGATCCCTCCCCCGGCGTGTGCATGTGGTGTCACCGTCGCGTTTTTCTCAAATTTTGCCGCCCCCAAAATTATTATTAACGGAAATACGTGCCGCTATAATTGGAAACGCACTCGAAATTGATCATGTTATGGTGTTTTATATTGTATAAAATCGTAATTTTCGTGACATTTTTAACCTCAAACGTATATATTAATATATAAAAAAAAAAATCGTCTGAGCCAATATATATATATAATTATAGGTACATATATACATATATTATATATATAAATATATAATATGGTCGTTTGTGTTTCGTTTTCGATAACAACAAAACAGCAAAACGCGTCTGCTTTTGACGAGACTTTTCAACTAGTTATCTCATTAACGGCTTACACTCCCCCCTCCCCCCACTTAATATATGTATGTGTATGTATATATTTATACATATATATAAATAAATGTATATGTATACATATTTATATATATATATATAATTCTGCGTACCTATCTATGTGTGTGTATCTCCACCATAATATATATATATATTATTATTTTTTTATAATTTTTAGAATCATTGTTTTAAACTGTTTTGTTTTTTTTCCTCCTCCCGCCTCATTATTATTATTAATAGTGGGTTACCATTTTTTTCCCAATGCTTACTAATGCGTAAAAAAAAATTATAACTAAAAAAAACCGATTGTATTTTGAAAACGAGGAATTGTGAATATTTTTTTAAAAAAAACAAAATGTCTTTTCGATTTATATATAAAAGAAAATTGTGTAAAGTGGTAAATTTGAAATTTATGCGTTTTTATATTTTATATTATTATAGTTATTTATTTATTATTATTTTTAATGTAAATTATTGCTGTTATTCTCTGTTGAAAAAGTAGATTTGTATTATTGTTTCTTCGAGCGCACCTACTACCAGATTGTTGTTATCAAATTAAGCTTACTGCCCTGTGCCCCCTCCCTCATCCCTCCAGCCAGTGTGTAGTTGTATTTATGTGTATAATGAATTTTAGATACGCTAAAATAAAAATCCTTTTTTGCAGTATATTGTATGATATATATATATACATATATGAATATTATATTATTATAACTGTTGTAAAAAAAAAGATTTTACAAAAACAAAAAAAAAAAAACAGAGAAATCTACCAGTTCCTAATTTTTTTATTGTAATAATTTAATATTAATAATAACAATGGTAAAAAAATGCTATAGTAAATTTACGATATTTTTTAGTTATTGTAAATAAAAATAAACTCAAAATATATACCAAACACTTGTTGTTACTGAATACATAATATTCATGTTTATATTATAGTGTTTACATGTATTATTGTATAGATCCACCGAGGTGGGTGCCGGGTGGGCGTTTTCGATAACTTGTAATATGTGTAAGACTAATGATTTTTCGCAAGCTTTCCCGCGGCCGACGGACTGGCCGTTGTTCGTTTGACGTACTTTTTTCATAATATTTTCTCTCCTAGCCACGACTGGAAATCAGCAAAATTCAACGAGTTAAAAACGTATAACTCGGTATCGTCCGTCAGCGAGAGTTGCGTCAGTGCGAGAGTGTGCTTTTGCATCCCTCTCCGGTGCTGTTTATTTTTGTCGGCCGTTGACTCTTTTCTATCCAACAAAAATCTCTTGATGGTTTCGTACATTTTTAACGACGAGAGTAATAATTTTTTTAATTTTAATTCTTATTGGCTAATGTTCACTGAACATTTTAAGTGCGTACTTATAAATACTAACTGTCATCTTCTACATTTTATTTCGTTCAATCATTTTTAATTGAACAAACAATCATAACCATCTCTCCTCAGGTACCTTTATATTCCTGTTGTATATTCGTTGACATTAGTACTAACGATAAAATAACAACAAAAGATTTTTAGAAATTCGTAATGATAAAACATAATCATTTAGCTAGCGGCTGTGATCGTAGTAGGCTGTTGATAACATTTTTTGCACAAAGCCTCTATCGTCTGATTTACCCAGCGCTATGTAGCTGTTAATTGGAGCCGTCGTCAGAGAGTAAGAGCGTTATTGTATTTGCCCAAAATTCTTCAAAAACTACGAGTGGTATGAATCGTTATTTTGATTTGCTGTTGTGTTTCATCGTGTGATCAACAATATAATATAATGAATCAAAATATCATAAACCATGGTATCCAATCACTGAGATTTCCTATATTGTTGTCGTATGTCAGACAACCATAACCCAGGTATAATGACTATATTATAATGAAAATAACATGTAAGTGATGTATCCTCACTCGAGCGGCTAAGACAAAAATGAAATTATGCATATATACGTTAATAATTTGACACAATGTACAAAAAGTTTTGATTTTTTTAAATGTATTATAAATTATAATTATAATTAGCAATTAAAATACTTGAGTCCGAAACTGCCGTAAATCCTGTAAAAGGTAAGTAACATTATATTTCACTGTTAATGGGATCGCGTTTTGTTTTTTTGATGAAATCGTTGTGATAGCGTCACAGTTGTAATAATTTTCTTTTTCGTAATAAAATAAAACAATACCATAAAAATAATAACAGTGATTAAAATAAAACATTTATTAAATAAGTATACGTTTGAATTATAATAAAAATTTAATTATAACATATACCTATTTATTTCGACGCAATGTGTTTTGACAGCCAATTATTTTTATTTTGTACAAAGTCACGAGTCCTATACTTTTTTTTTTATCATAATATTCCAAGAATATTTGATTTGAATCGGATTTTGGTCGTTTCTAATAATATATAATAATTATGCGCACAACAAGCTAGCTATTCAATAGCAGTATTCAACTACACAAGAGAGACCAACGTTAGAATCGATGGATTGAAATGTTCCTTTTTTGTTTACGATGATGGAAAAAAAGTGGTTGAATCAAGGTGAATGATGAGCACGGAGATATCTGTGTTTTAGGTTTAGACAAGAAAATTAATTTCAAGCTTTAGCAGTAATATTAATTATCTCCGAGTTGCATCGTTACAACTTTATTGAACAGTCAGCTATAGATAGACCTATAGTATCTATATAGATACTGTTTAGCGTCATAATTGTTTGATATTAATTACTACGTTTTATGATAATGTGTAGTATATATTGCAGTAATAGGGAGTGGGGTATAATATGGTCGGGTAGAAAAGCGAAATTTATGTTTATCACCATATTTCATTACACGGATACTCTCACGCATTAAAAATCCGTTCTGTTCGGAAACATAAGAACTCTTAGTGGGCCTGTCTTAACTTTCATCTTTCAAACGGTAGGTACTGCTCACTTCTAAAAAAAAATTAAATTTCTACTTTTGATGGTCACATGGTATAATTTTATTAAATTTAAAAATAAAACTGCGAATAAGTCTATCGAAACAAGTATGTAATTACTAAAAACCCAATAAAAACTGATAACTCGCCTTGATAATATTTTTAAAAAAACATATTAAACGTCATATACACGCTATTAGCTCACAATAGCTCATATTTTCTCTAATTTACACATTTTATCAAATCGTTGGCAAACATAAATGTACCAAAAATACATAGTTTAATAATTTTTTTGAAATTTCTATTGAATGTGTTCATTAAAAAAAAATTCTGGGGCCCGGGATCATCCGGGGGCACCCTCCTGGCTCCCATGTATCTGCAGGTGCTGAATTCAGTAAACCTAAATACATCCATACACAGCTGGAATATGGAATGTGCTTCTAAATATTTTATTTGCAAAGTAAATTTCATTTTAAATTGACCCTTTTTTATTATTCCAGTCGGTTACTGTTGTTCCTGGCGTCCTGCATCAACCACATACACCTCTTGAATTCAACGCTGATAAGTGTGATCAAGGGCAAATTTTAGTCTGTTTTATAGGAGATATTTTCTCGAATGCGATAAAACTGAGGTTTCCACCATTGGATTTTTCGACAATAAGTCTAGTTGGACGGAGTCGTCTATATTCTCTTCTTCGTGGATTACACGTGAAAAAAACACATCGCATGCAATACCTCGTGTGACTTTAAATAGACATTAAATTTGTACGCTATTAAAGAGCTAAGGCGGTGAGGAAATGTGCAATACTTCAATACAATACGCTGATTATATACTGAATAACCTGTTAACCTCACCAAATATTCATGATTTTTCACTGGAAAACGAACATCAAACATCATCGTAATTAAGTCCGTATGGTTCCTATTATGTCGTCAAAATTAAAAAGAATATTATAATGCATTAATATGATATTTTAAGCGAGTAAAGTAACATACCGCTGATATAGTAGATATTCGTCATTCGTCCAGTAAACTATTTTACTCGCCCACTCAAAAACAATTTCAAGCCGTAAAAATCTCAAACGCACCTTTTCAAGTACGTAAGTTATGCTCCGAGTCACTTTTAACATTGTGCAGATGTCGAAATCCGAAGTATAACTATATGAGCACATGGATATAACTACAAAAGTGAAATATAAAAATCTTGAAACAATAGACATACCTATACATACCTATAGTTGGTCGTCATTATGGGTTTACCATTCGCCACATTAATTACCCACCTGTACCATTATATACTTTTCAAATGTATTCGGAATACGCATTACGGTGTCCTTTGTATTCGAAATACGTATCCGAATACTGTGATCCAAAACTATTCGAATATAAATACAAATACATTTTAAAAGTATTCGAAATATTCAATAAGTATTTTTTTTTCTCAGTATTTTCAAATGGTTTAACACAAACGTACACTTAATATTTAAATCAAACATTCAATCATTTCAGATGTTACCTGGGTACCTTTTATACTATTGTCGAGTTAAACTTCAGCGAGGTTATGAATATACATGCATTTTAGGTGTTGTGTCATTTAATGGAATGTCAACATTTTTTTGAATAGCGTCGTAAAATATTATTCTAATATTATGCGAAACAAAAGTTTTGTTCGTTGAGAAATGAGGGTGAAAAGAAAAAAAGTATTCTGGAATAAAATAAAAATAATTGAATAACAAGTATTGTTAAATACTATTGTTGTTGATTGTTATTTTTATTGACAATAATAATATAACTCGTCATTTCACACGCAAAGTGTGGGTGGGTTATAGACGTTTATTCGAATGGCAAATAGTCACACTATAAGATTTACTTTACTTGTCCATCGGATTTCAATGACGATATTTGTCAATACACCTATATACGAGTTG